TTAATTTATATATTTATTTATTTATCTTTTATATGTATTTTTTGGACATTTATTGAATATATTTGTTTTCCCTTTGCGCACAACGATAGTTCAATTAGTATCTTGGTGGACTACCGTATTGATGGCACTGGGTCCTCCAGTTCACTCTGAGGTGTTCTATGATAACATCTGTATTGTTTGGGGCGCGTTCAAGGCTTTTTGCCCGTTTGCCCCATAGAGTACAATGATAGCTCAGCTGATGTCTAACTGGACAGTGGTACGGATGACACCGGTGGAATCCACTCTGATGTGTGGTGCTTGCACGTGTAGTGGGGTTGTTTTTTTGTGTGTTTTTTTTTGGGGGGGGTTGTTTTATTTTGCTTTTTTGTTGTTTGTTTTGTTGTTGTTGTGTTTTGTGTTTATTTTGTGGGGGGGGTTCTTTTTTTTTGGGGGGGGGGTTATAGGGTTTTTCGCCTATTGGGCTCTGTGTGATCGGAGATGGGCGTTGTCTTCAGAGATACTGCCTCGGAAACATGTACAGTGTTAAATGTGGCGTTTAACTCGCACCGTACCACATTAGCCTGTGTCTGTACCAGGGGGAGAGCTGTTCTGGTCTGGGCTGTATGCTCAAGCCGTCAGACGGACGCGCTCTGAAGGCGTTTTCAGTGGGTGGTTGATGGTTGCTCTGGCCTGGTGTGGTTTGCTCCTTCTTTCCTGTCAGACATCTACTGTCTTTATCTCTCCTCTTTCTTCGACTATGTGGGTGGTTGGTGTGTGCTATGGTGTGATTTGCTCCTTCTTTCCTATCAAACATCTATCGCCTTTAACTCCCCTCCTTCTTTTTTGTGTTTGTTACTCCTTTGTAACACCTCTAATCTTCTGGCGCTCATATTACCTTATGCACTTGTGAGCGCAGTAAAAAAAAACTTTACTAACACACTAAAAACGGTTTCACATTGACGTGTCACATTGACTTGGTCAGCGAAACATGGATTGGGTTTCGGGTGTCCCAAAACTGATAAGAAGGGCGTAAAAGGTGGGGGGAGGGGGGGCGGCTTAATTCTATGGCATGTCAGTGTAGGCCTATCAGGTTCGCCCGAAACAGCTAAATTAGTCACTTTGGATCACCCAGAGTCACGAATTTTAGACACGACTGTGCTCTCGATAGAAACACTCGACTCAGGAAGTTGACCTGGGCCTGGTTACTATAAACTTGCGCAATAATTTGGTCGCTTTTAAGCACAAGTGGGCTATCCGAAAAATGCTGTTTTGAGAAAATCGAAGGTAAAGTTTTTGCCCCTTGTTCAGTTTCTTTAAAATGGAAGGAGAGTTTTCTCTGTAACCAATCAAATATACACACCAATGAAGCCAAACTTCTGCTAAAGGTAGGGCAATGCCCACTTTTGGTGCAATTCAAGATTTCTGGAAACCCCTAAAATCTGGGTTAGCCCGCTTGTCCTTTAAAGCGACCAATTTAGAGTCCTGAAAAGTTTTCAAATATATT